GATGGTTTCGCCTATAGGACCCTACTGGCTGATATCTTTATGGGTTACTTTGAACAGATGCGACTACAAATCCATAAAGTAACCTAATATAGCCGATATATAGATAATACGTCTGTTGTTTGTAACGATATAAATGACGCATCTCTATTATCTAACTATCTCAATGAGATCCACCCAAACACTGAATTCACTATGGAATACGAACATTACGAGTTCAATTTCCTGGATCTCAATGTAAGAAGAAGAAACGATGATATGGTCAGAAAGTTCATCTATAGAAAAGAAACTTGGCCCGACAACTTACTATAACAGTTTCTGTCCTGTTAGCTATAAGCGTGGATTAATGAGGGCATTGTAAGACACAGTCAGGAAGCTTCATCCACCTAGTGAGCTGCAAGAAGAATTAGTCTTTATTGTGAAATACCTAAGAGAGAATGGTTATCTTAAGGGATTTACCCTAAAACATGGTAAAGATAAAGATGAGAGAATGAAGCACCCAACTACTGAAAAGAGGAAAGTTTTTATTTGTCTTTCATTTGAAGAAGCATTGTGGTGAGAGCTGGCTGTTAGCCAAAATTGGTAGATAGTTATTTACGTCAATGCGTACGTCCCCAATATTTGGTCATGTGTTGATTTCCTTGTCTTCTCTTGTTATGGTATCTCTAAAAATTGAAAAAAGGATAAGAGGAGCTGTAAGAAAATGTTTTCCTTCAGGTAAATTCGCATCGTTATATAGCACCAGATGCTCAATCAGCCAGTCGAAATTGAATAAGTATCCTACTGATTTCACCTCCAAATACCTTTATAAATTTACATGCACTAGTGGTAGCAAGTACAATAGAAGGGTAGAAAGAAGGACTTCTTTCTGGGTTTTTTGAGTAGATTCCAGGGGAAGCAGATATTCACAAAGTTCAATTACCAGACACCTCGTGGATACACTGCATTTTCTCTAAATCTCCAAATCATTCAAAATACTAAACTTACATAGGACACTAAATTTATTACAACTTACAGAAGTAGTTACAATGAAACACTTCCAATCAAACTTATGTATATGAAGATAGTATATAATCAATCACTCACTTCCTTGATTGCAATGATTGATCATCCACATTAATGGTTTCTGCTCAATGAAGAAATTTCAATCTTATGAACTACAATCTTCATTATTGATAAGATTTTATTTTGATAAATCACTCTACCATAGTGCCCAAGTTTTATACTTATATCACGAACTGCAATCTTCTGTTGATATGTCAGTTTGTGAGATAACATTAATTTTCGAGTGTTGGTCTGAGGAGAGTCAACTGGCTACAGGATTTCATTGAGGTTAAATCAATTAGAGAGCATTGGAAAACCCCCTGGGAGTACTGGACAGCATTCTCGTCTTGGCTCGGGACTCTTCAGCAGTACACCTCCTCAACCGGGGTTTGAACATTAATGATTAGATTTCCCTTTTTTTTCTTATCCCCCTGCCTCATTTTCTACTCTGAAATGCACATAAATTGATGATGACTTAAACTAGAAAACTGTAATGTTTGCCTTTAATTTGATAACACTTTCTCCGCTATCATTCGAACACTGAAATATGTTGTTTTCTTTCTTTTATTACTATTGTAATTTCAGGTGGGGGGTAAGCAGATGATGAATACCTATGAAATAAAAATGATGCCATTTTATACTGTAGATTTGGTCTCTTTTGCTTTATCGAAATTTATCAAGGAAACCATGAGTATGAAACAACAATGGAATTCGAGCAACAGACTGTTCCTCGAAACAATGCAATGAATAAAAGGATTCAAGGTATAACAGTTGATCTTCAGTTAAATCCCATTTGAGATAACAAGGTCATACTAGACACTTCATTGTAAACAGAATATTTAAATTAACTTCACTGCTTACTCATGAGTAGTGTAGCTCTATAAATTTGTATTTTAAATCACCAAAAATACTCATTAAATCGTGCAGAAAACAAGAGACGATTCAGTAAAGAGAATTTTCCTTATCGGCAAAATCATCTTCAGAGGCTGTACAGTCGTATTTATACTTAACAAAAATGCATAGTAGTTGAGTATTGAATAAAAGTGGAACATAATTGATACAATTAATTAGAAGTAGCTTCGAAAGTAAAAATAAGAGTTATAAATTACGTCTTACTCAACGATAGAAAGGAAGGACGATTTAGAAATTTGATTAGGTTAAAATTGTTATTGACTGCGAAGGTAGTTGAGTATCTATTTAACAAGGGTGAATAGGGTGAGAAAACATGCAAAAGGAGCATGCAAGAGTGATAACAGTGAATTAATTATTAAAGTAAATGCAGAGAGAATAAAGGATGCATTGGATACAGAACTTCGCCACCCACCGGAACAAACTGGATTCAGGAAAGGCAAATCACCAGCTGATCAAATCGCAGGTCTACGCATAACCACCACGGAACAAAGCATAGAACTGCAGTCAAACCTCTCTCCAACTCAAATTCATCGACTTCGAAAAGGCCTTCAACAGTGCAGCATTGATCGAGACGTAATTTGGAAACTACTTCAACTCTACGGTGTGTAGTGCTCAAGTCTTTATCAACTTCATTCAACAGCTGGTTATGTGGCAGTGTCATGTGTTAGGTGATCCACAACGAAAAATTCAGTCAGGTGTTCGAATTGCATACAGGAGTAAGACAAGACAGCCCGCCCGCCTATTATCAACGATATTCTTAATTGTGGTGGACTGGATTATGCGTCGGACTGTGTGTGGGGAGCGAGAAGATAGGAATAACCCAGACCATCGATAAGAAGACCCCAGAAGATCTGGATTTCGTAGACGATATATGTCTAGTGTCACACAAAGTGGGAGATTTTTGAGTGGGCGAAGACCAACAAACCCGTGGAAGAGGCAGGTAGTGAAGACAGGACATCAGGTGAACATAGAGAGGACAGAGGTGATGAAGGTAACCAACGAACCGCAGTAACAACAACAACCATCATCAATCACCATCAACGGGGGAGATTTAGTAGAGATTACCTCACTCACTTATCCATCCAAGAAGCATCGTTTCAACCACATGTGACAGCATGGATGAAGGAGTCAAAGCTAGCCAGAGAGCCAGAATCGGAAAGACCACCAAGATACGTCTTCATCAACCCGAAACCAGTTTGGAAATCTTCAACACTCACTCAGCCACCATGAAGAACAAGATTATCGCTCTGTTCAACACTAATGTCAAGTTGGTCCTTCTATACGAGTGAGAAACATGGCCAGCGTGTCACAAAAGGGATTTCCAGCAGCCAGTTGTAGACTTTCATCAACAGCTTCCCACTTCACTAGCTTCATACTGAAGATCAAATGTCCGGCCGGCCAGAAAGAATTAGTAACAAGAAACTCTGACTGAGAACAAGCCAACAAGCAAGAGCCGATCGGTCAACAAATATGTATGAGAAAATGAAGAGATGGATCAGGCATCGAATGACATCGCGCGCAATACAGGCCATTGCTCGAGTGGAATCCCAATGGGAATCGACGAGTAGGTCGTCATTGCGAGGGTGACATGGAGGGGATGGTGTGAAGAAGAGATGAGGTTAAGTAGAATAAGAGACTGGAAAAACTTTTTCTGTAAACGGATATCGGAGTCATATTGACGATTGCTAAAGCCTCAGCCATACACAAATGCCGAAACCTGATGACCTTTGTACCATTTGACCTCACCTTGTAGATAATCCTGAAAGACGACTCTGGTGGAGCTGCGTGGCTTGAGTTCACCAAATGCTCGAGAACTGAGCTACCTAGTAAATTGTATTTACATGCGTGATGACAGTAAGACTGATTATTAAAAGGTAGATGTTAAATATTTATTAAATTGTAATTAAAGTTTTGCTTTTGTCTTCATTCCTTTGTGTTTCAAGTAGAGCTTAGGGCTTCAAGCTTGAACCTTGAAATTCTCTTAGAAGTGGTGCTTTTCTGTCGGGTAAGGTTGCTAACCACTTGCCAAACTTTCTCTTTTTACCAGTTAAGCGATGTTTAGGAGTACTTTGACCAGGAATCGAACTCGGACTACATATGCTGTTGACGAGCATTCTACTAGTGTGAATCACCCACTTACAGTAATTAGACTAATGGGGAGTAATTTTTAGCGAAAAAAACAGCGATTTCTGCTGTTTCACCTAAGTCTGAAATGCATCATTTGTAAGCTTGTTTAATGGAAAATATATCATGTGTAGATTCGCGTGCACATACATCCAGCTGACTAAAGGACTACCCTTGCATCTTACACATGTGCCCACCCCACCCCAAAATACAGTTTCTGATATAATTTTCATTTGCCTTTACTGGCTATTTGTATTCTAAGATTCAATTTTTAAAAAAATTTTTTATTACAGCTTGATTCCACACTGTATTTTTGGTACAAGTATGGAATTTTCATCATGGATATCGGTAGCCCAAATTATGCAGTTCGACCATAGATATCAGGTGTTCGTCGGCAGGGGATCGAACCTCGTACATGTGCATGGTCAGCGAGAGTCCTAACCACTGTGCCAACGACGCACAGTGGTGGATTTATAACTGTAGAGCCTGAGGAAGAAGTTATCGAAAATAACTGTTCACACAAAATCATCTTGTTCCGATTAATTACACTATGGGGATTTTTAATTTACACTCATATGATTTACTTTATCAATTCAACCTTACAAAACTCAATTTATATTTATAAGACTATACAGTACTAATTATAAGTAGACATTACGCTGAACTAGTGTGGCAGAAACGCCTTTTTGTCATTTTGTATTGAACTATTTAAAACAAAAAGAATAGAATGATTGAAAAACGCGCGGATTGGAGGTTTTAAATTCAGTTAAGGAGTGTATTAACAAACCACTTTAATACAGAACAGTAAAAAAGAAAATATACAATTTACACACACACACACACACACACAAGTCAGTAATTTGGATGTAGGATAAATAATTTTTGGTAACGATTACAAAATTTACAAACTATATATATGTCAATTAAGGCCCATTCTGATTACTGTTATCATTACTCTCACTGTCAACATTGGAATCAATATCGATTGGTTTAACACAACTTTGCTCTGCAACAGTAGTTTCATCAGTTGGCAGAGAGTCACATTTTTGTTCAGGCGCCATAGAACAGTCATTGTCTTGATCAACAGCTGTCTGTTGCCTAGTAGGTTCTATCACATCCAAAGTAGATGGTTTCTCATCTAGAAATGGCAAAATAAATAAAGTGTGATTATACAAAGGAATATAACTTAATTTTGTGGACTGCTTATCAGCTTGGTGGGGTAAATGATTTAATAATTTCTCTGAAGTACGGATTCGAATCCAGCCGCACTTACTTCATCGTGGGCAAATTGCCTAGTATCATTGACTTACTGGTACATTGAAAATCTATTCCGGATAACTTATATCTCCAAAATAAACACTTACACGGTGCTAAACACCCAAAACAGCTGACTGTTTAGAGATGTCTGTACCGTACTTACTTACTTTACTTTACTTCGGCTATCTCCTACGGGAGGATGAGCCGGCTTCATGAACATCTCGAATCATCGCTGCCCAGGCGCGGCGATCTGATGCAAGGTTTTGCGACAGGGTTATCCAATTCTTGTTCCACAGACGGAGTCCGTAGACGGTTTGTAGCCCCAGGCACTCCATATCAGCCTTGACTGTACCAAGCCATGTTTTCAGCTGTCCACCCCTGCGACATCGCCAAGATGGAAATGGCGAGGGATTTAGAACTGATTTGACCAGATCGTCATCTGGTCGGCGCAGAACATGGCCAAACCACCGAAGGCGACGTTGTTGGACCAGTACTGGAATTTGGTTGATGTTGTAGCAACGACGACGCACTTCTTCGTTGGAGAGTTTGTCCTGCCAACGAACATGCAGAATGTACCTGAGGCACCAATGGTCTACTACCTCGAGTCTGCGTAAATCTTCCGCGCGAAGAGGCCAGGTTTCACAGCCATACAGGAGAACGGGTCGTATGGAGGCTTGGTAGACCCGAATTTTAGTCCTGAGACTGATTTCCCTCTTGCTCCATAGAACGCTCCTCAGCTGTAGAAACGCATTCCGGGCGTTGGAGATTCGCGCATTCACTTCGTTTTTCGCTTGACCGTTGGGGAGCATTATGGATCCCAGATATCTGAAGGATGGCACAATTTCAATAGGTGCTCCATTCAGGGATAAGATTTCATCATTGCTGGTGGATGTGTTCGAAAACATTTTGGTTTTGGAAGTGTTAATTTCCAAACCGATAGTAGGCGCGAGGTGGTTTATCTGATCGAGCGCCTGTTGCATATCGGGGAAGTTTTCAGCAATAACACGACGTCGTCGGCGAATTCGAGGTCGGTTATGTGAATATCGGGCGAAAGTTGGACGCCGTGGTGCTCGGTTAGGGCGTGCCGCAAAATCCAATCAACTGTGAAATTGAACAGGATGGGGGATGCTGGACAACCTTGCCGGACACCGCTGGTTACCTCAAAAGTGCGAGACTCTTCACCGTTCACTCGGACTCGAGCTTTGGTGTTGGAGTAGTATGACCTGAGCAGGTTGATTAGCTTGGTCGGAACTCCGTCGAGCTCCATTAGATACCAGAGTGCTCCTCGATCAACTGAGTCGAATGCCGCTCGGAAGTCGATGAAGCAAGCAACCGTCGGCTGTTGGAATTTGTCCCTGTGTTCCAAAATTCTTCGCAGTGTGAATAATTGATCAACACAGCCTCTTCCAGGTCGAAATCCGGCTTGATTTGGCCTTGTTCGCACGTGGCGTTCGGCCGCGAAGCGGTTCAGGAGAATGGAAACAAAAACCTTAGCAGCGATATCAATCAGACTTATGCCTCGGTAGTTCTCGCATAGTGACCTGTCTCCCTTTTTGTGGAACGGTAGCAGAACTGAGGTGCTCCAATCGGAAGGAATGGTTTCGGACTCCCAAATTGAGCAGAACAGCGAGTGCAGCGAATCGATTAGCGCTGGAGTGCAGGCCTTGTATATTTCTGGAGGTAGACCATCTTCGCCCGGAGCTTTTTTGTTTCTGAGTCTGTTAATTGTTTTAGCTATTTCGGTTGGAGTGGGTGGATCGCAGTCAACTACGTAGGGTGTTGGTAAGTGTCGTATCGGTCGATGAGACGGTTGACCAGCGTTGCGATTGAGTAGCTGCTTGAAATGTTCGGCCCATCGTTCCATCTTACCATTGGTGTCCGAAATAATTTCTCCTGATGCTGTGCGTAACACAGCATGACTGTTAAGGCGTTTGCCAGATGATAGGCGTATGAGGCGATAAAGTTTTCCGAAATCGCCTACATTTGATGCTGCTTCCATGTTAGTCGCCACATTAGACCAATAGCGATTTCTGTCATTCCTAGCAGACTGTGTAGCTTTGCGCCTGAGGGAGCGATAAACTGGAGACTTTGCTAGGCGAGCGTCTCTGGCTTGCGAGGATAGATGCATGGTGTGCTCTGAAATCCAGTCTTTCTGCTTCTTGGATGTGGTACCCAAATGCGACATTGAAGCTTTAGAGACTACTTCTTTGAAATGATTCCATCGTGTCTCAGGTGTATTAGAAGATGTGGATGTTGGTTCATCTGCGGCGCTTAGTTCGGCCTGGATTTGTTTGGACAAGGCTTGTCGCTTTGTCGAACATTGAAGCGGGGCAACATTGATACGCTTCGGAGGTCGCGCCTTCTGGCGCGTTGTTAAACGAAGTTTGAATTTCGCCCGAACTAGAGTATGGTCTGATCCCCCTTTATTTCCGGCCTCTGCTCCACGATAGGATCGACAGTCTTCCACCGAGGAGATCCAGCGTGAGCGCACTAGGATGTAGTCGATCTGATGTGCAGTGCGACCGTCGTTCGAATACCAGGTGAGATGTTTTCTAGGGTGTTGAAATCGAGTGTTGGTGATATATAATCGATTGTAATCAGAAAAAGCTAAAAGTCTATCACCATTACGGCAGCGCTGATCGAGACCGTGTTTGCCTAGTATATGTTTTGTCGCGTCGTCTGAAGGGCCAGTGCGGGCGTTCCAATCGCCGGCTACTATGAGAACGTCACGCTTTGGGATTTTGTTGATTGCCTCTTGAAGATTGTCATAAAATTCGTCTTTGATACTTTCATCAGAGTCGAGGGTTGGGGCATAGACAGCGAGAACAGAAATGTCGAGCGGGGAACCCTTGAACCTAGCGATTGCAACTCTGGAGTTGACCGGTTCGAATGATATTAGGGCATTATTGGCTTTGTTACTGAGAGCAAATGCTACCCCATGTTGTCCCGAATTATTCTGGGGTCCACTATGAAGCAACCAGAATGAAGAATCTGTTCCAGGTACGGCTATTCGGCGGGAGCCATGATCGGGTAACCTCACTTCAGATAGACACGCTATGTCCACCTTGTAGTCGTATAAAGAACGCATGGTGATAGACTGGCTACCAGGATCCAACAGCGTCCTAACATTCCAGCAGCCAACAAATAGTTGGTTTCTAAGTGTTAATTTCCCAGCTGGCTTACTTTTCACACTGGCCACCGGGTGAGCACAGGGCGCGTCGCTTACCGGGAACGCCGTAGCATGGTGAGAGTTGTTTGTAAGAGAGTTCATGAAGTTTCATGGGAATTTGGTACGAGTGATGTCCCCAGCATCGCTCGGCCTTTTGTTTGAGAGTGCAGCTCTAGCCTTTACACAACCAAGTGTGACCTACAAGGCAGTAGGAGTGGAGTAGGGAGTCCACTATCCATTGGCAGCCGGTGACCGGAGTCCGGTTCATACGCCTTTTTGAATGGGGCCGGACATCCAGGGCATCCAATAAGCCCTTTGTCCATACGTCTGCCGGGGAGCTCCGGTGAGCTTCATACGCAAGTCGTTGGAGGTTTGGAATCAGGGTTTAGCCATCTCCCCTAGACTGTCATCCAATGGACAGTCAACCCAGTGAAGAGCGCCGGGCATCCGCTTTTGCCCTCTCACTTCGGTGTCTGTACCGTATAAGATACCAAATGCTAAATGAACAATTCACGGGTCTGAAACTTTCAAACGCTTTGTCTACAATTCTAAGAGAAGAATGCTGAAGAAAATTCCGAATGATGTCAGAGTTCATCAAAGGCTATAAGATAAAAGAGGAGTGTAGAATGCAACAAATATACATGATGTTATTTCTATTATTCTAATAGCGTAGGTGAGACTGAAGTACCACCATCAATTGGTCTAGGTGTTCCGATGCCTGTAACCAAAATAAGCGTCAACAGTGAAATAGCGCTGCAACTCGATGTGATTGTTCTTAACGTGTTTACAGTCCATATTCTGTTCTAATCAGTATATCGCACAGAGCAGACACTAGTTTGTCGCAACACTACCTCTCCAAATAATCTTCATCAAAATCGCTATTATGATCATTTTGCAATGACCTAGATAGACAGACAGTTAAAAGCCACTTATGAATAGCAGATCAATGAAAGAAACAAAAAACAGCTATTAGATTGCACTAAATAGGGTCCGTTTCTTCAAACGCGCTTACAAGAAACAAATAAAACATCAGATGTGATGGATATCCTATATATATACCCTATATACCCCACCCCCAACAATCTACTTCATAATAATGAGCGAAGAAACTGTTGATTTGTCATGAGTTATGCCACTAAAATCGAATGAAGCTTTGTATTACATTAAATTTTCAATACAACTTCCTGGTTTTGTTTCTTGTTATATGTTATATAGAACGATTTTACCAAATTGGAAAGTATCCCCGATGAATCACAAGGTGTCTTTCGTAGAAAAAATTGGTTCCTAACATAATACTTTATGTCTTTCTAGTTAACTCAAGTTCTCTTGTGAATACTCGTGCAATCATAGCCTACACTTTCTTTATCGAAAGTAAGCTGACATTGTTTTTCAACATTGTCTAATCTAACTAGTTGTTATTTGTAATCAAAAGTACATGTGAGTAAAACTATTAAAGCATTCAATCAATCAATCAAGTGACAGATAACATATCGTTCTTAATGTGGAAATTGATACGCCCACTTTGAAAAGGCGCAAAAACTGGTATATGGCGGGAGAAAAACTATACACCTACACCCTTGTTAAGTAAGACTTGTACTGATTTCCTCTAATTGGTTAAAACCTCCGAATGAAGTGTGTATTCACAGAAGTTAGGTCATTCAGAAGCGGTGTAAACTACATCAATGTCTAAGCTTTGTACATAAGGATTCAGTCAGTGATAAAAACTGAAAATTACAGTAAACGTCACTGACAAGTCTTCTTAAAGCAATCTTAAAATAAACCATAGTGTTCAAATTAGTGAACGAGATAATTTTTCGGTTCCTCAGAGAGCATCAGTTTACTCAAAGCTGTAAACACTAAATCAACAACAAATACAGCACATACTGTATATAAAGATACTTCATCACCTAGGTCAGTGTTGCAACAAAGTAAAGTTGACAGATGGAATTATGACTGGAAAACACAATATTCGTTATTATTGAATTACTTGAGCTAAGAATATTACCTCAGAGTCTCTGATAACATTTCCCCCGACCGAAAGCTGCTACCTTGACGTGGTGGTCGGGCCTGAACACCGCAATGATCTATTCAAGCTATACTGGCTGAGACTTATGTCTCTTGAGGTACTACCATGCCAGGCAGGTTGTTTGGATAGCGGTTAAACAAAAAGCAGCTACCCAATCCAACATTATGATACATACAAAACCGCAAAATTTCATGCCGGATCGGCCGTGGCCCGGATTAACAACGACTGCGCTTCCTGCTGCCGTGTCACAGGGCAGGAGTGATAAATCTGCTACTGAGACACACCAAACAAAAAAGAACGAACAAAAACAGACCGCGTGTGACCGGCCTCAAGCAGTTGTCCCCAGGGCTCTGCGGTCACGCAACCAACTTCCACGGTGTGTGCAGCCGGGAAGTAACAATCGCCCTCACAATCCGAAATGCACACGAATAGTCGTTCTAGCTGGTGACTTTAACGCTCAAGTAGGGAAATTGTGTCAATCTGAGAAGGATGTCGGTGGCACCTATGGAGCTCCGTGCCAGCGAACCGACAACGGTGACCGTCTCCTACAGTTCTGCTCTGATAATCATTTGTTTCTTGTAAGCACTAACTTTAAACACAAGGAGAGACATTGTTTGACTTGGAGAACCCCTTCATCAAACCAACGCTGGACACAAATAGACCACATAGCAATAGGCTATCGTTGGCGTGGGTCGGTAGGAGATTGTCGCTACTTCTGAAACACGTGTGTAGATACCGATCACGCACTGGCCCGCGCTCGAGTGTGCTTACGACTGAGCGGACGTAGGAAACAGCTGGCGGTAAACTCATCACGTCCCCAGCTCGATCAGGAAATTAAATCCCTATTTGAGCAAGAACTAGCTAAACACATAACTGAGTTCGACAGCTGTGCTCACGCTGAAGAAGCTTGGAAAAATATCCAGGCAGCCATAGATACAGCTGTAAAAGCTGTGAATAAGGTAAATCCAAAGGTGAGTAAAAACCATTGGATCTCCACCGCCTCATCCGAACTGATGGATGCTAGAAGACTTATTCCGGCGAGCTCCGAATTCAATGAGGAGCGAAAGCTGCACAAGAGGAAACTTACGAAAAGTCTCCGCAAGGACCGTGAACAGTGGTGGGCGACAAAAGCCAAAGAGATGGAGAAAGCTTCGAGGATAGGCAACACCAGGCATCTATTTAGACTCATCAGGGAAACGGGTGGGAGAAGACAAATCATCAGTGAGACAATCTCGGAAAAAAATGGCACTATAATTAGCTCCCAGGATAGACGACTGGATCGTTGGAAAGAGCATTATGAGGAGCAGTTTAATTTGCCCACAGCCACGCTCAACCTTCCGAGCATCCAACACCTCCCTGAATGGGATATAAACACAGGTCCTCCGTCACTAACTGAGGTTACTAAAGCTGTCACCAATCTGAAACTAGGCAAAGCAGCGGAACCTGATGGAATGACTCCAGAGGTATTTAAGTACGGTGGAGACAGTTTACTGTCTGCATTAACTGAGGTACTAGGCAGCGTTTGGGAATCAGAAGAAGTCCCATCGGGTTGGTGTAAGTCACTGATTATCCCCATATACAAGAAGGGAGACAAGTCTTCCTGTGATAATCACAGAGGGATTAGCTTGACTAATATAGTATCTAAAGTCTTAGGCTCAATAATCATGCGTAGACTGAGTGGTGCTCGGGAAGCACAAACACGAGAGAGCCAGGCAGGCTTTAGACCAGGAAGAGGGTGTATTGATCATATCTTCACCCTCCGACAGATTCTAGAACATAGGGATTCCTACCGGCGTCCAACAGTCATTATATTTCTTGACCTAAAGGCAGCATTCGACTCTGTCGATCGAGAAGTTCTCTGGAGATGCTTGGCTGTAAAGGGAATTCCAAGAAAATATATTGCACTGATTAAGGCACTCTACTCGTACTCATACAGCCAGGTGAGGGCTTACGGCGAGCTGTCATCTGAACTGATGACGACCAGTGGTGTCCGTCAAGGATGCCCATTATCTCCTTTTCTATTCAACTTCATCATAGATGTGTTAATGGACTTAACCCTAGGTGACTTCAGCGACTCAGGGATTGACTTGCTACCGGGGAATAATCTCGTTGACTTGGAATATGCAGACGATATAGTCCTTCTAGGCGAAGACGCTGACGAAATGCAGAGTCTTCTAAACACCTTGAGCCGCAATCTACGAATGTTTGGCATGCGATTCGCCCCTGCCAAATGCAAGATGATGTTACAGGACTGGACTACATCGACGCCTAGTTTAAAAATAGGAAGTGAAGTGGTAGAGCACGTTGACCGCTTCACTTATTTGGGAAGTACCATCAGCCCCAACGGGCTGATCTCTGACGAAATCTCAGCACGAATACAAGGGGCTCGTTTCGCATTTGTTAGTTTACGCCGACTTTGGTGTAGACGAGATGTTCGACTATCGACCAAAGGGCGGGTGTACTGCTCATCAGTCCGCTCCGTCCTCCTTTATGGTTGTGAGACCTGGCCACTGAGAGTGGAAGACATGAAAAGACTAGCTGTCTTTGATCATAGGTGCCTGCGTTCTATTTCCCGTGTAAAGTGGCATAATAAGGTGAGCAACATGGAGGTTAGGCGTAGAGTTCTAGGTAAACAGGGGAAATCAATCGACGAAGTCGTGAAGCTACAAAGACTGAGATGGTTAGGACATGTGTTACGTATGCCAAGCCATCGCCTCCCTCGACGAGCTATGTTAGCGGATATAGGGTCAGGCTGGAAAAAAGCTAGCGGCGGTCAAACAAAAACTTGGCATCAGTCAATGAAATCCACAACAGTTGGTCTAAGCCACATAGGAAGGTGCAGACTTCCAGGCTGGGGCCCTCGGGACGGTAAAAATCTATGGTTGGAAACAATTGGTGACATGGCTCAGTGGTGCAGATGCATCCACTCCCTGTGACTTATGATCTTCAATGAAACTGTTTTGTATTTCTTTATTACTCCTTTGTCTCACACCTCTGCTCACTGTTTCTATTATGCTTTTCTTGTACTTTCTTCTCTTGCTTCGCGTGCTACACGGAGTGTGGCGACTTGAACTTCCGCACATTTGTGCAAAGTTCTATGTCGAAAACAGACAGACAGACAGACAGATGACATTTCCCGTTTGACAGATCTAGTGCAAAATGGACGAAACTGAGGGACAGTGATTCCACCGTGGGGTGAAGGGTATCTGTTGATGCAATGCAACCTCTTGGACGGAGTTTGAGAAATCACCTGACTCAGTGGCTCTAGACGATATCAGATATGGGTAAGAAGAGAAACCCAATGGGGAACACGCTGTAATCTCTTCTTTCACCCCTCTTTCTGAGAGTAACATGAAGTTTCGAACGCTCCTCAAATGATGAATACATTTGTCTTCTCTCATGACGCTGTTTCTCTTTGGTCCTGCTTCTCTTCCATATACAGCTTTATCGCTCTCGTGTATTACAGCTTAAGGCGCCCATACTGTACTAATCACGTGATTAAATAAGAAAATGACTACATAAGATAAGTGATTACCTTATCTAGCATAATATCGTAGTGTACGGTTTTCAAATTAGAATCATTTGAAAAAAACTAACCTGTGGCTGACATAACTGTATCTTGCGATTTTTCAATGTCAATTTGAACTTCATTTTTCAAATTAACAGACTTGTCTGGATTTGAATCAGTTACTCCAATAGAATCATCTTGTTCAGTTTTTGGGCATGAATATGAAGAGAGAATTCCAGAAGAAATATGCGTTGAATTATTGACATTTGATGGACGATTGAATGTTCCCTTTTTAGCATGACCAACATCAACCATAAGAGAAGGTACCCATTTGTAAACAAGCATAGAAGTATCTTTGACAGCAACCCACTTCTTTTCCCTGAAGTTTAAGTGTGTTAAAACACATGTGTCAATATATATATATATATATATATATATATATATATATATATATATATATATATATATATATATTATTTACCACAAATGCACTAGCAATCAATAAAGAATTCAGAAAGTAACATACATCTTACACTTATTTTGGCAAAGTATATGATATAAATGATTAGGACTTTCTAGAAAACCAAAAAGAGCATCAAGAAAGTTCTGCAAAACGGATCATATCTCTAATAATGTACTACAATGACACAGACGCCTGTACGATCTTATTTGGCATTTTAATTAGCGTCAATATAGACAATTCCCATTGTTGTTTTTTTCGTTCATTATATGGATGTTACGCATGAATCTGTCTTTAACTGCAGGAAACAGTAGGAATGTATATCATTTACGATCAACATACTACTAACCGTTAGATTTAGTATGATGTTATATTCCGTAGGAAAAATGATAATTTATTGTCACTTATCAAGGCTAATTTACATTCATCTCCATAAAAACGATCTACTGACATAACTAAACAAAAGGCAACTTATATTCCAAATTTGAGATTTACTGTCATTTTGGCTAACCAACTGGTTAATTAAATTCCGGAGAGGCTTTTTATACTAACCAACAAGATTTACGGCTAGAATTTAAATAATAGGAAGCATAACTAGCTGCAATTATGAGTAAGAGGTAGCACCATTTCTTTAGAATCTAGTAACAAAGAAAGGCATTGGTTTTCTTATTTCAAGTGTAATAGCTACTCAGCCTTCAGTACATGACAAAATATCACAAGCAAAAAGGGTCTAAACAGTCTACATCAACCACTTAGCATTAATAATAGGCTTGACCATTCTATTATATTGACAATCATTTGGATTTCTACATGACAACTTATGAAAATGGTTACCTTCAATCACCATAACATATTTCAATAATACGAGTATCTCATCTAAAAACTAAATAAAAACTAAATTACCCAAACAACCTCTTATTCAAAGTAGGTAAAGATCAAAATAATGCGTCAGCCATTCGGCAGCAGTATGCTCAAGAACCAAGAGAGAGGTCCCCGTCCGTTTTCTGGCCGATGTACTCTCAAACCCTCCCTAATTTACTGACCGCGGATAAACCAAGAAAAGAGGGAAGGTTGGGCATGATGCTAGCAATCTCTTCCCGTAAAACAACACCTCGACTATAACTTCAAAGCTTGACGCCCTAGGTTCTCCTCAGAACGCAGGAGACGAAAACAGGTTTTAAATTAATACATGCAAGTTTCTGCTGAAACTATAATTGAGTGAGTGGTTATCTATGGTTTAAGAAGATACCGTATTTTACCTATCAAAAGATGGATTCGTTTAATAAAACGTGTATACTGTCACTGTCTGTTTTCGACATAGAACTTTGCACAAATGTGCGGAAGTTCAAGTCGCCACATTCCGTGTAGCACGCGAAGCAAGAGAAGAAAGTCACAGTCACTTTCGTAATCTTTGAAGGCAAGATCGGATGTTTTCTTGAGTAAATAAAAGACTGACTGATATCGACCAGAAAATATCAACAGGTATAAAGTAAACAAACTTCTAAGTAGAAGTATAGACGATACTCAGTGCCTTTTTAAAACGGTTATTAAAAATGCTTCGGAGTTAGAGATACAAACAAGAAGGAATATAAATCTTACCAACTTCTAACCTGTTCATGTGACTTATGAACTCTTTTCAAGTCTTCCTTTGCTCTACTGCGTGTTTCAGAACGCAAACTTCTGGAAAACATAATGATGACAAGTCGGAAATCTTTGGATAACAAGAAGATGACCGTTCAAACACTTTCGAAAGATAAGATTTTTGAAGACACAAACTTGACCATGAACTGGATATAAGCTGAAGCGAAAAAAAAAATTAATAAACTACTACTTTCGGCAGATTACAAGTTTTAATCCTCTTCATAGCCCCCTTGCATCAAGAACTGAAAAGAAACTTTGCTGATTACGTTGATGATGTAAAAAGCAAATGACTTTCTTAGGGTCTTTACTTCACATCACACGCTTTTCATTTATAGTACAAAGTTGTAGATCATGTCAGCAAACGGACACATGGTGGGCCAGAGGAATAGTAACTGTTATTAAATATAAAAACTGTTATTTTCTCCTTGAGATTTTACCACTTTAACGCCACATAAATAATCCAATGAATAGCATTCGTAATCATGACTTTTGTTATGACAACAGAACATTATATCCCACTGCTCAACCACTTTTACCCATCACATAATTATTTTGTTTGGCGAAATCCACACAAAATGATGCACTATTATTTCCTGATGACGTTTCGAGCACGACTTATTGTTCGTAATCATATCAAGAAGTTTACATAACTTCTACACATTGTCTACAGAATTCCATTATTTGTTATGCTTTGATTTTGTCTTATATTTCGTACCAGCATTGACGCCATAGTGTGGAAATTCTACGCTCACATCATTTTTTATCCAGGTAACTTTCGTAACCTTTTAAAGGAAGAAATTTCTGCATGTTCATCAGTGAGTTCGATTCTGAATTAAATCTATTAACACCTGGAGCCACCAAGTCTAACGATTTCACACCTACTGAGTCTCAGAGTAGAAATTCGCAGAAAATTGTAGTAGTTTAAACTGCCTTATTCCATATAGCACACACAGGGAAAAGAGGAAAATTGAAGAAAACTATAATGGGATAAATGTATGGGAGAAAGAATAGTAACATGGAAAAGCCGAAGGACTCAATGAAGTTGGCAGATCATATAGAGTGAATGCATCTGCGCCACTGAGAACGATTTCGTACCATATCACCACAGGTCTGCAGCCACTGGTTTCTAGTGCCTCAAGAACTCCAACGAGGCAGTCTAAACCTTACTGCATGAATCGGACGAATAGTCAAGGATTTCACTCTTTTCCAACTTAATCCCATATCAGTTAACATTGTTTGTCGAGGAAGGCGTGAGTAATACGTGTTTCTCCGGCTCCCACCCAGGGGGCCATGATTCACTAACAAAACTATTCATCATGCCTCACACATCTCCCAGAGGGCATGGACGGCAGATGGACGACAGAAGGCATCATAATGACCATAACTATGCAGAATGGTACTGGCTAGAAAAATTCGATTTATCTAAAGCTGGGAAAACTATCCACGTCACGTAACCTGTAATTATTAAGTCCCCATTAACCACCTCCATGACTTTCATTTAAGCTTAGACTCGGCTTATTTGCAACACGTGGTGACAAATATAATACTGGATGCAACGATATAATGTCTCAAAATGATACAGACAGAGTGACATCGATGATAACAAAACAATTCACTCGTGAGAATTACAATAGCGATAATAACAATCGAATCAGATTAAATATTCCAAGGTATGGTTCATGAGTTTAAAAGTGTTGTAAGTTGCTACAAAATAGAGTTTAGTTGAGTGTTCCACTTAATTAGTGTTCCGTATTTTTTTGAGGGCTGAGATACTGCCTAAATGTATTAAACTCCTCATCTATCTTGCAAACTTTCAACAACAGGTTCCCAATTCGTTCAATTTGCCTTCTGTTCGTTTTCCATTACAATCGATCAGTAGATTAAGAATGAAGTAAGATGAACACATCTCTGCCTACTACGTCTGTTACGAATGTAGAATGCAGCTAACAGAAGAAATCTATAGAATATCATTCACTACATCCTGGTGGGTGATCGAGTTAACTGCACTTCCACACTAGTGACTTAGGTGACCACCTTGTGTTAGTGCCGGGGTCTACCAACTTTATTGATTTCTGCTACCCATTATGATGTTTTTCTAGTAGTTCGCTGGTCCCAAAAATGGAAAATTTCAAAAAACTTAATCAAAATGATAGTTACTTTTAATCACATCATTACAGTGTAATTTAGGGCTCATGATGGAACTCATACCTTTGGTAGGTAGCGATTATGACCTCCATAAGGTTTCACCATGGTAAACCAGTTGATTTTATTAACAGTACATCTTTCCAAAATTCCAGTCTATGTGGGCTACTCTAGTCAATAGGATGACGCAATTGACTTTTTAAAACAATGCACTAAAATGCATACACCATAAACGCATTAATACTAATGGTGGGTTTTACAGTCTAGTTCCTTATATCATCACGTTTGTGGTTATCACAGCGAACACTATCAACAAAGACCGAGGGGCTAAGTCGTGTGAAAACGTGACATATTAGTCCACTTACAATTCCATGCTACCAAATTCATATCACCTATCACTCTCTACCAATATTCTCCCATAATCACACTACTATATCAGATCCCCACCCGGTAAAAATGTTTTCCGCTCTTGAGTATATTACTGCGAGTTCAACTACTTTATATATGTACCAGTTTAGTTTTAGACTTCCTCGTGAGCTTGCTGATGAAAGAAAATTACTGCGCTTAAAAGCATGGGGATGAATATAAAGGTCAACCCACAGAATGCGCCAGTCACTGTCAAAAAGAGAGTGAGTGTAAAATAACATGTGACGATAAACTCTTAACCCAGTGAGCCTGATGGCAAGGTTGAAAACAAGGTCCAGTAAAAAATGACAAAACAATAGCACTGATTACCTGCTTAACTGCTTAAAGTAAACACACGACAAATAAGACTGGATAAGCACAAGCGGATAGACAAGGGTCAACCCAGATTAAGACAATGGTTGATCTTTAGAACTATTCATCAGCAATCAACATCGCGCAACACAGTTTTGAATGCAAAATAATAATAAGCTAAGAGTAAAATGTAAATACATATGTATATATTTATATATGCGTAATATATATTAGTTAATAATATAATAACTTTTCCTTCACGTTACCAGTGGAACATAGGGCTTCAAGCTAGTGGCTGAAGTTTCTGTAGCAGGGTTTGTTTTTACAGGATGCGGTTGCTAGCCTCATGCCCAACCTTACCTCTTTACCAGCATTATTTCTGGCTTGGCAAGGCAAAGGAGTGCGTCGGCCGGGGATCGAACCTCGGACCATGTGCATGGTCGGCGAACGTCCTAAACGCTGTGCCACCGACGCACGTAATATATATTACGCATATATAATTATGTATCTATAACTGTAAATGTATGAACATGAGAATTCCAACATTTGGTGTGAATGTTAATATATAATTACATTATCGAAACCTAAACTTTTCAATGAGTAGAAAACCATCATAGATACAATTAACATTAAACAGAAGTAGCACCTAGTCATGAGATTGAAACTCCGTTACTTATTTATTGAATGTGAGAAAGAAGATCTACTTGAAGATTTCTGAAGAGTTAAATAGGACGGTACGTAAAAACACCCCCAAATTACCTTTGTTGCGCTGACCTTGAGACAACGGTTACCTTTGCACTAACCGCTTCCAAAATCCAATATCGTTTTTACGAGGTAGTATAAACCAATTTGATTTCTTTGTGCTCGCCTCTTGGTTGTGAGGTATAGGTACCTGACCTTCGGTAAACTTCGGCGTAGCTTGTCCAACCACTCGACTGCCGTAGCGTTGGTTATTCTATCAGTAACATATATTTCAAAAGAGACATTGGATAGATCATAGGGATGCATGGCGCCAATTCTGTATCGACATCTGTAGGTGGTCGTACTCATGCGGTAAGTTTTAATTTTCTGAGAAATAAGCATCAGAACGACGTTGTTCATGAACATTTATTGTTCGGTTCAAACACTTGCAAGCTTAGATACACCCCAATGACACAAGGACATAAAAACGTCAACAGACAATTTTCGCATAGAATTTATTTTTATTTGGTCAATATGATTTGTGCAGTCCGAAATCGCATCATATGCGAGTAATATTTACATTATACGACAGAGATAATCAACACGGTAGATTAAACAGGAATAGCGAAATTTCAGTGTTATCGAAAACCCGGAACTCTTGCAAATATTAGGGCTACCATAAGCCTTTTAAGGTGTCTTTTCAGTGAGTGAGACATCCCAGCGTGGAACCACTGTTTATGTACCAAGAAGCACAAAGTCTTTCACCAAATTCTACGGAAAAACTGCTTCATCGAAGGACATAGTAATCCTGTAAATCTCTTCTTCGAAACACGAAATGGATTTACAGATTTCAAAACAGCAGAAACAGGGGAACAAGAAAAGCCTCACAACAGAACAGTCTGATGAATTTAAATGGAATTACGCGTAATTATTCACGTGAAAGGAGGGCCACATCCGAAAATGTTGCTATAAAGGCTGCGGGTGTTGACGTTCACGAATAGTAAGATTAATACCAACGCAAAATCTGATACCCACGACTTCCATTGTATTCGTTCCGCGTAGGCCAAAGACAAAGCAAAACACCAAAATTGATCGCTCAAATTACGACGTAAATTTCGGGACCAAATTGGAGTGCGATATGATTGCCTAACTTGCTAGGGATCGTACACGAAAGAACGAACGTGTCATGACGGCGTGCCAAATGGCGTGGATGCTTGACCGTAAGCCTTCAACTGAACAGGTCGACCCAAACAGTTAGGGTCAGCATCCAATATTCAGTGATGGATGTCGGGGCTAATAAATCCGAGGAATTACCTACTGTTATAGCTCCCTTCTCCTGTAGAGGGGTTTTGAGGATCTTAAGACGAAACCACTCGGGGGAAAACTCCCAATCGTAACACCATCAGTAAGACTCTTCCGCTCAGTTTGATGGATTGCCTACTGGTCGCCAACCCATGCTCGTTGCGTGCATGTACATCGCTTCGTTGATGTTCATCCATTGCATCGCATA